GTCCGAGACATAGAGAAATATATTTGGGTGTCATCAGCGTATTGATAAATCCCTGCCCCATGTCTCTGGATGATCTCACCCAGTGGCTTCAGGTAAATGTTGAATAGCATTGGGGACAGAATCGCACCTTGAGACTAACTGAAAGAAAGAAGCTGGTAGCATGAGCTTTCGTAGTCTGAAGTCTCAAAGATGCAGTTCCCTTCTTTCAGAAAGGAGATTATCGCACGATTCTTAAAAAGTGGGATAGAAGCAGGATTGAAACTATAACCGCGGGATCTTATCCCACCACATCATGGCTAGGCAGTAGGTATTCTGTAGTCAATCTGTGCTTCTGCCATTGCTTATAATAAATGGGAAAATCCCATGAATAGCTGTCAATCCCGCAGTTAGCCCATGATTGAAGTATGTATCATAGGTAATTCCTGGGTAATGCAGAGAGAAGGGGATTTAAACTGGTTTCGCTGCACCCTTTCCCATTCTTAATGAAGGCAAGACTTCTTAGTGCTGAGGAGGCAACCATTTCATTTGGGGCAGGAAAAAATGGGATTTAAAGAGGTTTCACTGCACTCCCCCCATTGCCAATGAAGGCAAGACATTTTACTTACTTAATCTTGGTTGATTGTAAACAGAACAGTAGTGCGATAAGACGCATGGGCAACCTGTTATCAATTCACAATTGTGTGGCAATGTGAAAAGAATTGTTGCTGTTTCAGGTGTTTTAAAAGCCGCAACAGCATCAGGAGGACAGATTCATGCAATAATCTCCTTAGTCTCAAAGATGCAACAAGATCCCATTGTACCAAAGTAGCAGGAGTTCCCCTTCCTCCTTGCTGGGAGAAAGTATGAGAGGTTTTGTGCATTTTTTGTTTCCTTCCTTTCCTTGTTTTCTGAATTTTGGCAAAAGCTTCAAGGAAGAATTTTCTGCTGAACACAATGGTATGAATACTGTCGGTGACTCACATGTGTCAGTTGCTCTACAAAAGTGGACTCAGGTCACTGGTGAAGACATTTCCAACATAAGCATTTGTTGAATCACTTTATCAGTTGCATCTGATGAAACAAATGGAGCCCAAGAAAGCTTATGCTAGACATACCTTCTTCCCAGATAATAATAATAATAATAATAATAATAATAATAATTTCTTATCCTCCTTTCCCATGCATTGAGGCAGGGAACAACAACTGACCAACAAATATGTGTCAGTTAAAACACAAATTCAGTTAAAACATACATCAATTTAAAAGATCAAGCAAGATGTTTAAAATCCAACATTTAACATTTACAGTTTTTAAAATAATCTGGATAGGGCTGCCAGAAGAGACTATTCTTCAATGCTGTTTTAAATTCAGACAGTGTATTCAGCTGTTGAATCTCTTCTGGCAGGTCATTCCACAGTTTAGGGGTGGCTGAAAAAAAAGTCCTCGGCTGATAGTTGCCAACCTAGTCCTGGCTGACTAGAGTAAAAGTCCGCCAAAGGACCCGAGTGTACAAGATGGATTATGTGGGAGAAGGTGATCCTGTAAGTAACCTGGACCCAAACCATGTAGGGCTTTGTAGTTAGTCTCAAAGGTGCATCTGGATGACCTTTTTATGGCTTTTTATGCTGAATCCTATTACCTTATTTTCTGGCGTATAAGACTAGTTTTTAACCTGCAAAATCTGGGGTTAAAGTGGGGGGGTCGTCTTATACGCCGGGTATAAGGAGGTTCATGATAGGTTTGCCTTAGTGTCATCATCAGTTGGAAATGACTTGAAGGTGCACAGCAACAACAACAACAGTTTTGGAAGTTATACTCTTCCCAAACTCTATATTTTAACTGGAAAAGTGGGGGGTCGTCTTATACACCCAGTCGTCTTATACGCCGGAAAATACGGGTAGTTAGTCCAAACTGGAGCCGACCAACTGAATCACTGGTGAGATCATGTCACTACCACTGAAATAGGTTTACTGTATATAAACTATAAGTCAACCTCCTGTATAAGTTGAGGGCAGGTTTTGGGGTAAAAATAATGGATTTTAATATGACCCATGTTAGGGGCATGTAACAAAGGATGGTGGTTTGAGAACATTGTTCCCTAAATAAGAATTCTGCCTCCACTAGAGATGGATATACTAACACAAAATTTAAAAAATGATATTTCTGACAAGGTAAGGACAGAATGGACTACAGTGTTCATGTACCTAAAGGAACAATGGATAATGTAATAATTTAAACACATTGCTGAATATAAATTCAGTTAAGAAAAAGAATGTAAAATTTTAGATTAAAATGTTGGAATGGTGATCTATAATTTGTAATTACTAAGAAAGTAGGATAAGTAATATTAGATTATTATGTAGTAAGTAGCAGAGACAATATTCAATATCCAATACCTAATGGATAAAAGTAAAGTAGAAATAAGAATATAGAATACAGAATAATATATGAGAAGGTATATGAAAGTCAATAATATTATAATTCATATTGGAGGGAGGAAGCTATGGAATGAATGTAAGTATGATTGAAATAAGATAAGAAAAGACAGGAAAAATAGAAAATAAAAATTTGTACACGTGTGTAGGTGGTGGGAGATGAAGAGGGATTATGATAGATATTGTTTAGGCACAAGAATGTATAGTGCGTTAGTTTAACTATATGTAATTTTATGTATGTAGTTGTATGTATTAATAATTATTTAAAAAAAAAAAGAATTGTGCCCCACGAATGATTTTTTCCTTCAGTCTCCAAATTTCCAGCATTGCAGAGAGTGAGACACTAAAAACAGTTCACACCTAGAAGTCTTCTGTTTGGCATATTCTCATTCCCTTGGCCATTTTGCCTGCCTCTTTTCTCTGGATGCCAAACATCTATTTCTAAATGCTCAGTTGACATTTTATATTACAGCAATGCTGGGAATTTGGGGACTGAAGGAAAATTTCATTTGAGAGGGAATAAATACCCTAAATACCCTAAAGGCACAGATCCCAATTCATCTTGCAAGCTAAGTAGCATTAGACCTGGTTAGTAGTTGGATGGGAGACTGCCAATGAATACCAGGTGCTGCAAGTTAGATTTCAGAGTAAGACCACCTTTGAGGATTCCTTGACTAAGAAAACCTATGAAATTCATGGGGTCACCTAAGTCGACAAGTGACTTGAAGGCACATGCATAGAGAATTCTTGTTTGGGAGGACAGTATCCTCATTTTGTCCTCCCATAGCCATACCAATTTCTAAACAGCACCCCAATCTGATAGACATGTTGGCTGGGGGATTCTGGGACATGTAGTTAAAAAATATTCCTCCAGTTCACATTTACCTTAGCCCTACTTTTCAGAGGGGAAAAAATCCTTTGGATCATAGAATCCTTTAGTTGGAAGAGACTCCATGGGACAGCCAGTCCAACCCCAATCTGCCATGCAGGAAGACCTAACCAAAGCAATCCCGACAGACAGCCATCCAAACTCTGTTTAAAAACCTTCAAAGAAAGAGACTCCACCATTCTCCAAGGCAGTGTCTTCCATTGCCACATACCTCTTATCATCAGGAAGTTCTTCCTAATGTTTAGCTGGAATCTCTTTTCCTGCAGTTTGCATCTATTGCTCCGTGTCCGCGTCTCTGGACCAGCAGAAAACAAGCTTGCTCCATCCTCAATATGACACCCCTCCAAATATTTAAACCTGGCTATCGTGTCACCCTTTAACCTTCTCTCCCATATACCCAACTTCCTAAGTCGCTCCTCACAGGACACCCTTTCCATACCTTTGGATAATAGAATTATACAATCATAGGATCAAATCCACTTGTTCCAATGCTTTGCACAGAAATCCATGGGATGCACTCTCTTGGAGGGAATGTCTTTGGAAGTGGAGTGCCAAAACTTTGAGAGAGCTAATTACCTGGCACGCCCGTTTAATGAACCTCAGGCATTGCTTCACAAATACATGAGCATTAGCAGCATTAAAAGTGATGCATGAATGAATAATCCCTTTAAGGAAGTCAGACACTGCAAGGTTCAGCAATGTGACGTAACATCCCAAACAGTTTGGCTAGGACTGAAACATTCACAGAGCCAGATTTACACCATTTGAACAAAAACAATAAAATAGGCAGAGCTCCCTAGTTAAGAGCAAAAGAGAGAATTCATTAGGTCTTAATTGAATGGGAAATAGGTTCATTTGATCATGTCAATACTTCATGGCATCAAATGAAGGATTCCCCTTCCCTTCATTTTTTCCAAGATCTCAACCTATTATGTGATGACATGGATGGGCAACTTCCATGGGGATGTTGTCATTGTTGTTGTATGCCTTCAAGTCATTTCCAACATATGGCCACCCTATCAAGGCAGTTTCTTGGCAAGTTTCTTCCGGAGGGGGGGGGGTTGCCATTGCCATCCTCTGAGGCTGAGAGAATGTGATTTGCCCAAGCTCACCAAGTGGCTTTACATGGCCAAGCCAGGATTTGAACCCTGGTTTCCGAGTCCTAGTCCAACACTCAAACCACTACACCACTACACCATACTGGCTCTCTCCATGGGGCTAGGAGTCACTTTTCAGTGGCCAAGAGCCAAACACACATGGGATGTGGCTCTAAGGAGAAGAAGGACCTTAGCTCTATAATATATAAATACAGTAGGCCTGCCACATTCACTGGGGTTAAGGGCACTGGATCCCTGTGAAAGTGGAAAAACTGTGAATAAAAACAACAACACACACTACTTTTTTAACTTGGGAAAACACCTTTCTCAGAATCTGTAGGTCCTCCAACAGAAATCCATGGGCCCATGTGCCAGAATGTGACCATAGAATCATGGTGGAGGACCTACAAATGCCTAGAGAAGTGTTTTCTGTAGGAATCTCCAGGTCCTCCAGTGCAACTCCATGGTCAACTTCCAGCAGAATTGCGCTAGAAGACTTAGAGATTCGTAGAGAGAACATATTAATCAAAACTGCAAATCCACAAAAGTCAAAGCCGCAAATGTGGAGGGCCAACTGCATATGCTGTAGAAATGACTTGTTTTTCCATTATTTGATTGTTGTTAATTGCCATCAATGGCGTCACTAGGGTTGGCATCACCTGGTGCAGTAACTCAAGGTATCAACCCTCCCATTGACCTCCTCCCATATCACACCATACAGAATCCTTAGTGATGCTTTTTGAACTAATGTTACTCATCAGTTGTAATTCCCATATATTCTTGAATGTAATGGCAATAATTGTGACACAAACAAATAGCAGAATTAAAATTATACCTTCAAATTACAATATTATATGCACAGCCTAAAAGTATTGACATGTACATCCTGCATATACTCATGTCTAAGTCTAGAAACCTTAGACAAAGCATTGACCCCAAAAGCCTGAGTTGACTTATCCATGGGTCAGTGGAAGTACTGTACAGTTGCCCCTCCGTCCTTGCAGACTTCAAGTCTGCCGTTTTACATATTCACGGAGGGTCGACCTCTGTTTAAATCTGTTAAAAAGGAAGCATCCCCTTCTCTCGGTAGAGTGGTGAAAGGCAAAAACTGAGGCCATTCCAGGAGAACCTAAGGAAGCACCAACCCCCCTTTACTCTCATTGCTGTGGTGCCACTTCTAGACTTTTTGGGCAAGAAAATGGTGGTAGGGCCAGCTCTTGGCATTTCCCCTCAAAGGCGCACAGAAAGGAATCGGCATTGAAAGATTTGAATATGACATTTGTGTTCGTTTGTCAGCTTTTCTGGGTTAAAATCAGGCAAAATTATCACATCCAAGGCTTGTGGTCTTCATGTCAATCCTAAATCTAGCTTCTCACTTTGCATGCAGTCTTCTGGTCTTTTCTTTTTTTCTTTTCCTGCCATTCTTCCCTTCTCTTTGCTTTCTCAAAAGGAAAGCCCCTGGATTGAGCGAGTAGCTCATAGGCACAGCAGTACAATAATTGCTTCTGACATGATGTCTGCTTCCTTTGATCCTGGAAACTTTCAACATCTGCTCTCAAGGGAAATGCAACAAACATATTTCCTTTCCCCTTTCCTCCTCAGTGTGCAGTCCCCGCACCAAAGGGAAGCCACAGTGTGGTTCTCATTGGTTGGGAAGAGAAGGATGTGTTCTCTGTGGGGTATATTTTAACACAGAGAGCGGTGGCTGGTGGCTCCCATGCCATTGAGGTCATGAATCCATGCCACATTTTGCCTGGCTTTAAAGGAGCTTCCTTTAAAGCCTGGATTAAGACCTGGAATGGATTCCTTGCCCCACTGACCTGGGAACCATCAGCCACTACCATACACAAATGTGTATCCATTTCTTCTTGGAACTTTGAGACACATAGCAGAAAGTGTTAGTTAGGACACAGGGCAGAAAACTGGCTGTGATTGGTCTTTGGCTTAATTTTTGCAATTGAATCCCAGAATCCTAGTCTGAAGAGACCCCCAAGGGCCACCCAATTTTGCCCTTTGCCAAGCAGGAATACACAGCCAAAGCCCTCCCTGTGACAGATGGCCACCCAGCCTGTTTGTAAACCACCAAAGAAGGAGAGTCCACCATTCTTTGAGGCAGTGTCCCCCACTGTTGAACAACTTCTATCGCAGAGGGCTGGATCAGAATTCAAATTACCTCAACAGATTAGAAAGCTGGGCCAAAGTGAACAAGCTGAATTTCAACAGGGAGAAATGTAAGGTACTCAGGTAAAAAAAACTTAGGTAGAAAAAAAATAAAATGCACAGTGCTTTGACTTTGTCTTCCTGTGCAGCAGGGGATTGGATTGAATGGCTCTGGATTCTATGATACTTAGCTCAACTGAATATAGAGCAGTTATGGATGCAAACGGATCAGTGTGGTGTAGTGGTTTGAGTGTTGGACTACGACTCTGGAGATCAGGGTTCGATTCCTCTGCTTGGCCATGGAAACCCACTGGGTGACTTTGGGAGAATCACACACTCACAGCCCCCAAAACCCTATGACAAGTTAGTCTTAGGGTCGCCATATATCAGAATGACTTGTAGGCGTGCAACAGCAACAACAACAATCTGTAGGTTACAAATCTGTAACTGCAATACAGAATGCCAGCCACCAATTATACTAGTCTAGTTCCTGCGTTGTCATCATAATGATAATGATGACATTCCGCCATCTTAGTTACAGATGTACTCCCAAGACCTACCTTTGCTGTCTGGTACCATCCTAAGTGAAATATTTCCAAGGTGCGGGAGGTCAGAGCTCTAGCAAATTACACTTGCAATTCTCTCCTGCTCACGGGGTGCCTTGGGAACAGGCAGCTGGAGAGACCCAATGGGGTCCTGCTGCAACTGCTTGTCCCAAGATACCCAGTAGATGGGAACAGTGGCATCACTAGGATTGGTGTCACCCAATGCAATAATTCATGGTGTCACCCCCTCCACCCTTGACTTTAGCCATGTTTTTTGTACTAATGTTATTCATTAATCATAATTCCTGCATATCACCGAATGTCAAGAATTAAAATTACACTTTTAAATCACAATATCATAGACATAGCCTCAGTGTATTTACATATACATAGTTTCATGTGGTTGAAGTGAAAATTTGGGAAAAGGTGATCTTTTAAAGGAAAATTTAAAAGCTATTTTTTATAAAATTAAACATTTAAATTTTAATTTAAAAAAAAAACACCTTGGGAGCTCTGCTGGCTCAGTGGTTAAATGTCAGTACTGCAGCCACTCACTCACAGTCACAAGGTTGTGAGTTCGATACCAGCCAGGGGCTCCAGGTTGACATCCTTCTTCCAAGGTTGCTAAAATCAGTCCCCAGCTTGTTGGGGGCAATTGGCTTACACATTGTAAACTGCTTAGGGAGTGTTTAAGTGCACTTATAAGTGGTACAGAAATGTACTTGCTATTGCTATTGCCATTGTTATTGTGGCCTCTCCTTTCTGCTTCCAAGCAACCTTGCCCCACTCACACCCGCTCTTCAGCATTTCAATGGGACACAGGCAAATGCCACAGCCCATTTCTGCTAAAAAGCAGATGTTTGAGAAGCAGTGCTGTCACCTGCTTGGTTTGGTCCCCATTCCCCTGCACCCCTCTAGTGATGCTACTGGCTGGGAACACACTGTGGACATTGTTTCTTAGCCAGTACCTGATATTCAGTTGTTCATAACCTTTCCTGAGGATCTAGGAGTCCTAGTAGACCACGAGTTGAACGTGAGTCAACAGTGTGATGCAGCAATTTAAAAAGCCAATGTGATTCTAGGCTGCATCAATAGACGTATAGTGCCTATATCAAGGGAGGTAATAGTGCCACTCTATTCTGCCTTGGTTAAGCCTCACCTGGAATACTGTGTCCAGTTCAAGCTGGAGCGTGTCCAGAGGAGGACGATCAAAATGGTGAAAAGTCTGGGAATCATGCCTTATGAGAAGAGACTTAGAAAGCTGGGTGTGTTTAGCCTGGAGAAGAGAAGGTTGATACGACAGCCCTGTTTAAATATTTGGAGGGGTGTCACACTGAGGATAAAGCAGGTTTGTTTTCTGCTGCTCCAGAGAATACGACATGGAACAATGGACTCAAATTAGAGGACAAGAGACTCCACCTCAACATTAGTTAGATCTGTTTGACAGTGGAAGACGTTGCTATCTCAGAGTGTGTTGGAGTCTCCTTCTTTGGAAGTGTTTAACCATAGGCTGGATGACCATCTGGTGGGAGGACTTTGTGCATTTCTGCATGGCAGAGGGATTGGACTGGACGGCCCTTGAGGTTTCTTCTATCTCTATGATCCTATGATTCCCCACTTTCATATCACCAAAGCCCAAATTGGATTCACCGCTCATCCTCACATTTGGGAGTCACCAGCTGCAGACGTTGAGATGGCTACAAAAGTCTTTGCTTTAGTTCAAATAAAATGAGGAAGATGAGAATAAGTGGAAACCATCACCATAATCTGGAAAAAAACACCCCTTCCCTTCCAGTGCTGTGACCTGAAATCATGCTTACCAGGAAGTAAATACCATCGAAGCCATTGGGACTGAATAAAAATGGCTCGGATTGGCCTGTAAATAATGAAAGAGGGAGAGAAGGGGTGGGATGGAAAGAAGCGTGAGGTTGCTATTTTAAGGATGAGCCGCACGAGTATGGAAACCGTCTTCCGAGCAAAGCTATTTTCTGGCTGTGTGCCCCCAAGCCAGGCAGGAGTGCTGCTGTGTTTTCTATTCTGGTCACACTGGATGCTTCCTACCAATCTATCCATCTTAATCAGAGGCTCCCATTTCTAAAAGCAGCAGCCCAGCCTGGGAAGCAAGAGGGAGGATGGTTGGGTTGAGGAATGGAGGGCAGGCCAGGTGGATGCAGACAAGGAGAGATGGGCAGAGAGCGCCTGGTGCCTGGGATGAGGGAAACAGAGGCTGCTATTAATATTAGAAGGGATCTATATATGCATATGAGAGAATCAGCATGGTGTAGTGGTTTGAGCACTGGACAAACATTGGAGACCAGGGTTCGAATCTCTGCTCAGCCATGGAAACCCATTTGGTGACCTTAGGCAGGTCGCACACTTTCAGCCTCAGAGGGAA